CTGACATAAGATCAGACGACTTCAAGAATGTCGTATATGAGGCGCATGTAATGCAGGCTGATGTGTTTTGATTTGCTAACATTAGTTCACAACCTCTTGGTCGCTACGACACTTGTTATCGATCGAGTTACGCTCTGTCAGATAAATCGTTTCACAAATGCAATTAGAATAACTCTGTGAAAATAGTGGTTTGTAAAATATCAAGATCCCTATAAATTGCAAGTGCATGTGCGTGCATGTTATAACGGCATACCATGCGATAGCCTATGGTTACCTATGTACCTGACATGCGTAGGCGGGCTATGGAATGATGTCCAAAGTTTACATGATTGAGAGTAATTTTGTTCCATAAAAGAACAGTAAATTGACAATTAGATATAGTAATTTATTTATTTTCCGTCGTTTTTGGTATAGTAAAGAAAATAAGTGTCATTGTAAAAATCTATACCGCTGCAAAAAGTTCCGATTTATTTCAAGGTAGACAACTCTCATCAAGATCAAAATTATTATTGTAAAATGTAAAATAAATGATTTATAAAGACTTTGTGTGTATTTGGATCACTTTTTCACTCAAACTATGTGTCCTGTTTGCTCTTAGATTGTATTTAGTAACTTTTATCCTAACAATTTCAATAAAAAGCGCTTTTTTTAACATGTTGTAGATATTTTATGATAAATAAAATATTTGTAGGGTTGCTTAGCAATGTTTCTTTTCATTATTTTATTGTTGTAATAGTTTTGAACAATGCCACACACTCAAAAAATATGAAAGTGTTGAATTTGACAAAAATTCAAATTTTCTGGAATTTTTACAAAAAAATCACCAGTTTATCGGAATGATTTGATTTTCATAAAATCACCTCTACATAGTGACATAACTATTATGTGAAACTTTCATTGAATTCTGCTGCTTAATTGTGAAAGGATGGAGCCTCCTTAAGGGATAAGAGAGATAAACATTATAATACTATAATTGTTCAGACATTTTACTATCTCAATGTTTTCACATTATATTGAAGGATACGTCATTTTAAAAACATTTTCAAAGCTTTTCCTCTCAGTTTTAGAAAGAGTTTCCGATTTTTTTATGAATTATTTAGTTTAAATTATCAATACAAATCCAATTAACGATCTTTTGTTGTGAATGGCGTAAATCAAACAAATTATCTTTTCAGTTTGGAAATACATATTTTATTAATACCTGGTTCATTTAAGTTCGATATATCGATATTTAATAAAAAGATAATTCTCATTAAGACACTAAATGCCATTGAAATTACTAAATGTAAAATTTTGGGTCCCAATCTGTAATAGGTGGCGCTGTACTCGCATGAGAAATTGAACATTATATTGAAGTAACACAATATGTCATTTCATGTGTTTTTACCCAATTGTATCGAAATAAAATGTTTCAAAAAGAAAACCATTGTGGTCCATCTTGCAACTGGTTTTTTTAAATTATTTGTACAATTTTACACATTAAACAAATCTATGTTGATATTTGTTTAGGTTTATTTATTATTTTAAGATATACAGATATCCCTCAATATATGAAGATATTTGCAAGATGATTAAACAAAATATATACTTAGGAGACTAATTTTGTAGTTTGTATGGAAACATACATAGATAGTCAGAAAAAGCGTCTGCTTTTTGTTCTGTCTCGATGACGGCGAGTCGACCGTGATTCATTTCACAACTCGCACTGAAACAATTAAGAGTAGTAATATAAATGCCAGTCATAGTAGATAACTAATTAAGGGCAGTGACATAAGATAAATCATTAAGGGCAGTGACATAAGATTAACCATTAATTGTGTTGGTATAAGACAAACCATTGAATGAAGTGATATAAGACAAACGATTAAGAAGAGTGAAATTAGACAAACCATTCACACAAGTGATATCATAAAGAAACCACATTTAAGATAGTGATAAAAGACAAATCATCCAGGGTAGTGATATACGAAAAAACATTCAGGATAGAGATATAAGACAAATCATAAGAGTAGTGATATATGAAAAAACATTTAAAGTAGTGATACTGAAAATAGACTGATGGAATTATTGGAAACACAGGTGAGATTGACAGAGAGAATAGAGCACCTACAATGCAGGTCGATGAAACAATATATATTTCATTGCATCCCAGATATACATAATGCGGATATACTGAGGGCTAAGTCAGAGACTTTTACCATCACGAACTAAGAATGTACACAGGTTTGAAAAAACGGGACTAAGTCAAGTCAAGACCTATAGTAGCGTAGCGGCTTTCCTCTTTCTTTCTTTCTCTTGGAATTGGTGCGTAAGAGTGGTCGGTTCAATGAACAGTTTCCTAGGTCGGTGAAAAACAGAAGAAAATGTCTGCTTCCATTCTTCAAGTATTTCAAAAGGGCGACAGAAGAGTAAAAATGGTGAAAGACAAACTATATGTAGACGGAGAGCTTTACAGAATATCGGCTAGGCATGCAGTCAGTTCTAAGGAATTATCAATGTATCGGTCTCTCCAAAACCCCAGTAAACAGTGGACGGGCGAATAAAAGTGGACTGTCCTCTTCACACCCTCAGACAAGGATAACACTGATACCACCAATGCCCCTACACCGTCCAGGCCACCTCATGATATACCAAAAACAAGAAATTACCCTATGACTAATGCAATTCCCCCACCGACAGGGAACAAAGGAACTTTGCATATGACCCATAATCCATGATATGATATGGTGATCATAGCAAAAACCCGGAACGGTTGGAAAAATTGCTTGACTCCTTGTCATATTATACGTATAAATGGGATTTGACAGTAAATAATTGTAAAAAAAAGGTTGTATGGGGTAACTTCAGACGTACAAAAAAGCAAATTTTTATCAGAATAGTAATTGTATTTGTGAAATAGTATAATTAGAAGAGATAAGGAATTTGAATTCTTAAACTCGGTTAAATGGAAAATCGAATGCAATAATAATTCCTTATGCATGTTTTTCACGCATTTCGCGAATTCTATTCATGCATATATATTGTATTGCACTGATACGTGATACTTTAAACTTGATATCTTTCTAGAAATTCTTCAAGTTTCAGGCGTAATGCCTGACCCGTATCCCTGACCTCAGCGGCCCCTTGGTCGTACACGTGTTATGTAATACACAAGGTAGCATGCTTTTACAGATAGGGACAAGTCCGTCAAACAGTGGGGGCAACCCGTACGAAAATAACTGAGACTATTGAAGGCCAGGGAGCCGTGTTGTAAGAAATCATGACATATTTCTATTTCTAGACACTCGATATCCATAATACCACCTGTGTTTTTTATATGAATATTTACTATGGATATCTTCGTACAGTTTTTTTTTGTCTTTTGGATCCTATCAGTCAGTATAACAAAAGATTGTTTGCTTTTTGTTATCATTTTTATTTGGTACCCATTTTATCCCAACGTGTTTATTGTTCCAAGGCTAAGCCTTTTTTTCAGAATATACGATCCATAATATCTGTGCATTCATTGCCTTTCCTCTACCAGAATTCCCCTACTACATGTAATTATGTGTATTATTTATGATAATGGATACATTAGCGATTTATTCTGGTATGGTGAAAGTAATGAATGGCATATCATTTCATAATCGTGTTTCACTAGACTTACCTTTTATCAATATGCATTTTCTTTTCATGAGATTTTATATATTACAGGTATGTGGTAATATCAACCCGAGCCCTGGTCCGGATCCACATCAAAATCTGAGTACTCGTTCTGATAAAGTACATTGTATCTGTCATATTATTATGCGGAATATTCTAAACACGATATTCTGAGACACATCTTAAAATTCTATTACTGACAGTGACATTTATCTCTATCTGATCTTTAATACATATAAAAATAAACCGGAGTTTCTTGTTAAGATTCAACCGTTTATAGGTAATACACAAAATATGATGCAACTGTTAAACACATAGATAAAGGCAAGGAAGCTAGAATGGTTTTCAGTGATATCAGCAAAGCCGTTGACAGAGTTTGGCATGGTGATTTGATTTATATACTTAGAACATACTGCTTCTGTGATAATATTTTGAAATGTTCTCCCTATCTGAGTGACAAGAGACAGATGGTTGTCTTTGATGAATTTAAATCTTTCTGGAAGCAGGACTTCAACAAGGGTCAGTGTTAGAGATACACTTTTTTTTCTTTTCTGCATAATCGGTAAAGAAGAAAATTTGATTTCTAATGTCAAGCTATTTGCTGACGATACGTCTTTGTATACTTTGATTGAGGGAAACAGACAAGCTGCTGATGTGTTAATGATTTACACATGTGTTGTATACAGTAAAATGAAGCCCCAAAGTTCTCTTCATTGTGAATATGCAAACTTTGCACACATGTTTTTTATACTATCTTTTTTACACGAAGTACTACAGTTTTTTTTCGTTGTACGACATTTTACCAATACGCGCAGTACGCTACATTAGGTTCCCGTGAGTAGCCCCAATTTACATTCCTATGTTTATCTCCTTCCTGGGCTCCTACATGTAGCCCCTACTTAGCATCCTAGATGAAATGTATTTTTTCCTAAGTAGAGCTAATGATTTGGTTACTTACTAGAGCATAAAGCTTAGTTCCTAGGTAGAAAGCAAGACTACTTTCCTAGATGTAGCCCCTGATAACGTACTTAGTCGTCCTAAGTTAAGCCCAAAGTAAAGCTCCTAGGACGAGCCCAAGGTTAAGTCCCTAGGTGCTAGAATTGTGTTATTGATTTACTTTAAGTCTATCTAAACGGAAAAGGCCTGTTTTATATTAGCCCGTACTCTCCATTTGATTCGAATAAGTCACCCGTGGCAATGAAATAAGGAATCGATAAACACCCATTAGCTAAGTACGGTCACATGACTTTGCATGTTAAGATAAAAACGCTCTTGTAACCAATCACAGATTAGCCGTTCACTGTATAAATGTCACACCTACTACACAACTAGAAAAACATATACCAGGTCCTCTGAACGAACCACTAGTCTGATAGATATGGTTCGGATGCAGCTGACATGTGTGGTCGGGGTAGCCTGTTTGATATTCGAGGGTAAGTACAAGTTCACCATTTTAAGTCTGTAATCATGTTTTTATTGAACTATCCATAAATGCTAATTTTACGTTATTACCTCAATGGTTTGTCTTATATCCCCTTCATTGTATCACTAACATTAACGGTTTGTCCCTTAATATGTAATGCTATATAAATAATATGCTAGGGTTTGTTACAGTTAAGTAGTGTGAATTCAAAAATATTGAAATAAAGGCGTTAATAAGCATCTTGTTTCCATATATATAAATCAAAGTGCCCATGGCAATGGAGAATTGACGGCACGAGTGTGGTTATTTTTCTAAGATTTTTATCCTGAATTGGCAGGCTTCCATATGCTTTCATGAGGAATGAAATAAAAAAGCAGCTTTAGTTTTTGATTTACATGATACTTTATGACTATATAACCAAAGTGTTACATGTAGCATGCATTAACGATGGTGTTATGATACTTCAATGTCTCTTTTACTTCACACTACATGTATTGATATTTTATACCTCGATTTATAAACGATATCAAATTGATACTCTTCACGTTTATGGTAAGTTTCATTATGCTGTAACATAATTATTGATTCTCCTCATGTTTATGGTAAGTTTCATTATGCTGTAACATAATAATTGATACTCCTCATGTTTATGGTAAGTCTCATTATGCTGTAACATAATTAGTAACACTCCTCACGTTTATGGGAAGTTTCATTATGCTGTAACATAATTAGTACCCCTCCTCACGTTTATGGTAAGTTTCATTATGCTGTAACATAATAATTGATACTCCTCATGTTTATGGTAAGTCTCATTATGCTGTAACATAATTAGTAACTCTCCTCATGTTTATGGTAAGTTTCATTATGCTGTAACAAAATTATTGATACTCCTCATGTTTATGGCAAGTTTCATTATGCTGTAACATAATTAGTGATACTCCTCATGTTTATGGTAAGTTTCATCATGCTGTAACATAATTATTGATACTCCTCACGTTTATGGTAAGTTTCATTATGCTGTAACAAAATTATTGATACTCCTCATGTTTATGGTATGTTTCATTATGCTGTAACATAATTAGTAACCCTCCTCACGTTTATGGTAAGTTTCATTATGCTGTATCATAATTATTGATACTCCTCATGTTTATGGCAAGTTTCATTATGCTGTAACATAATTAGTAACACTCCTCACGTTTATTGTAAGTTTCATTATGCTGTAACATAATAATTGATACTCCTCATGTTTATGGTAAGTTTCATTATGCTGTAACATAATTATTGACACTCCTCACGTTTTTGTAAGTTTCATTATGCTGTAACATAATTATTGATACTCATCATGTTTATGGTAAGTTTCATTATGCTGTAACATAATTAGTAACACTCCTCACGTTTATGGTAAGTTTCATTATGCTGTAACATAATTATTTTTGAACACAGTAATAGAAAAGCACAGCCAAAGAAAGAAAACTTTAAATACAAATAAAATCACAATTGTTCAAATAAAGGCAAAATATCATGTATGTTCAAATCAGTTTTTTAATAGACTTAATAGACTGTGAAAGACAAAATAATTTTAGAAACATGAAACGCTTTCCAATGAAGTTAAATTTAAAAATTTAACAACAAAACATCCAGTAAAAAGTAGCCTCAGTGATCCATTATTTTTAATTATTTTCCTTGAGATCAAGTAAACTTTAATTTAAACACATCTATAAAATGTCTGAAAAAGTATGACCAACACTGAACCATTTGAAAGAAAACGGAAGCACATCGCATACGGTTGCGTAACTCGTGCCGTCAAGGATATTCACTTAATAGGAGCGACTGTCGAAGACGTTCTGAAAGATTTACTGTTCTAATAATTGCGTAACTTAAACGCTAAATAACATTTCTTGACCTTTCATGGGTGCACGCTTCAATACTAAAAAGGTAAATGAAGACCGCTTGCACAAGATTTGATATAGTAAACAAGTAAATTTGACGGATGCAGTGTTCTGAACAAAGTGATCCGACAGTCTTACTGGGCCACGAAGACAGTAAGTTGTAACCCCACGTTGAGCTCGCATATGAACCATCCATTATTAATTTGACACAACAGTCCATCGAGTTTACACCAATTAAGGCATCTACTGTCGTCGATGGCTTGCGATTTGTGCCTTGTCTACAACGCAATGGCTTGCAGTCGTACAGCGCGCGCTGAACTGGGTCGGTCCTGTTCATATACACAATAAGTGTCGGCCACAATACACAAGTGAGTGGACAGACTGTTGTTTTTCTGTGACTAATTTTCAAGTTGTCTTCTATTTTTTAACCTAGTACCAATTAAAAACGAAATAGCCCATGGCTACTTTTGCTACCGACAGCATGAGCCTAATTCCGAGAAAAGCGAGCACATGGTTCCGGCAAAAACAAAAACATTGTGTTCATCTGCAGCGAACAGTCCAGCTTGGAAAATAAAGGCATTTATTTTAAACTCCTGTAACATCGATTATAAACGCGAATGGCTGTTTTGACGTTTGGGTGTTGTTGTTATTAACATCAAAAAGCATATTTCAATTCAGAACATATTCCACAAACAATTCTTAATGAATTTTCGAAAACTCATTCGAACATTTTGTCGGATTTTTGGCGGATGAATAAATCAACTACAAGAAAATATAGGCGGTTGTTTGGCTTTCCGTCCAAGCACGAGCCGCCAATCCAATAACTTCTTTTACAACAATTATGAAACAAGCTCTAACAAACTTGTATTAAGCACTCATGTTGGCCCGGAAGTAAGCCCCCGGAAGGAATATCTAGAGAAAAACCAAGTGGTTGGCAAGGTGACCCAATACTTTTCACGGCCGATCGGGAATCGAACCCCGCCCGCCTCGTTTAAAGGCAAATGTGTTATCGTATGTGCCACCCGACCACCGATGGTGTCCTTACACATTTAAAAGGGGGAAATCTTACGGAATACTAAGAGCGAATCTATAATGTCTTTATGTCTTTTTAGGCTGATTGTGAGAAGCGTTTGAGTAATGTTTAACTAAGTTGACCCACTGAGACGCATTAAGTATTTCTTGATAATTGATGATGATATATAAATATATATATATATTATAAAAAGAAAAATTCTTAACAACGAGTCTTTAGTACTTTCATCTCTTCTAGGAGATTCTTCAGACTATATATATAACTGTTTATAAAATGTGTCAGTAACACAAAGAATGCATGCGATGCAATATAACATAAACTCAATGTGCTCACTAAAGGCATATTAGGATATATTAGGAGATATTGACAAAATGATTATGAAGTAAACTTTCAAAACAAAATCGATATCACAAGATGAGATATAAAACTGATAACAACCTTCTAATTATGATTGATTTTGTATCAACATCTCATTTTCTTTTATAAAAAAGAAAGTATAGATTCAGCGTGTAGAATACACTTGAAAAACAACTCACGAGAATTGATAGGGACCCTAATCCAATTTCCAAGTTTTACGTTTTTCCCTTCAGTTGTTCAGACCAATTTGGATTTCCAACATTGTGGCGCCTAGCATTGACGAGTCCTAGAAGGACGGAGCGGCTGTATGATTGCAGTGTCATTCTTTTTTATACTGCATCTACTACCAAAGGCTCAGTCACATGTGTGTAGTCACATGTGTGTGTGTGTGTCATGTTCATCGTAAAAGATACAAGGTGGTAGACACTGCTGGTGGATGTATTCGTCCCCCGATGTTTGATGTTGTCATGATCGGCAAAGTAGTCCCTTTTGAGTAGTTGCATGGTTCATAATGGTTCATAGTATATACACTTTACTAATTAAATTGAAATTAGCAAGTACTCTTCTTAATTATGTAATTAGTAAACCTCCCGTTTTAACAACAGTTGTTTAGACCAATCTGGATTTGTCACCAAGCATCACCGATGAGTCACAGAAGGACGAACCAGCTGTATAATGCAGTGCTATTCTGTATTGGCTTACTGTATCTATTGCCACATTTTAAAGGTTCAGTCACCTGTGTGTATGTTACGTACATCTTAATTACCTTTATACGCATTTATAGAGCGCCATTAAATGACTATGTAGTTATAGTAGTACCGATTCTTGAAATTTCAGTTCTTCAAATTATTACGTTAAGATAACTTAGACCATATTATTTCGAGCACCTCTCATCATTACAAGCTGGTCAGTATGGAATACAAAGTTTAAAGGATCTGCTACAAAGTTTAAAGGATCCGCTACAAAGTTTAAAGGATCCGCTACAAAGTGTAAAGGATCTGCCACAAAGTTTAAACAAAGTTTAAAGGATCTGCTACAAAGGTTAAAGGATCTGCTACAAAGGTTAAAGGATCTGCTACAAAGTGTAAAGGATCTGCTACAAAGTTTAAAGGATCTGCTACAAAGTTTCGGTGAAAACACTCGGCTAGAAGTAACTTCTGAGTGTTGCCCATTAAAGAAATGTTCTTGCAAACTAACAAATGAAATCAGCATCGTTCATTGGAAAAAATTATTCAGCATAAACCACAAAAGACCAAAATGGCCAGGGCTAAATTCCTCGATATGGCGTATTAACTCCTAAATATTATACAAATACATTTTCCAATAGAGACAGTGTTTTAAAGTTAACTTGACAAAGGTTTTTTTTTGTCTGTGTTAACATAGATCTGCACTCTGAACTTTCGTTTACTTATCTATATCCGAAAATAACAACCCCAATCAAGAGTAGTACTAATCGTTAAATCGTTAGTATTCGAAATGTACCGAGATTACTTTGAAAGATGTTTCATTCCTTTTCATGTAAAACAATAGCATATTTGCAAAGTAAATTATTTTGTTAATATTCAGATGAACGTGTATTTGACAATCAACCGCTGGTTTTATGTCATATCGCCTCCATATATAACTGAAACAATTCGTTAAGTGTCGTTTGAATGCATTTTTGAAAGTCTGTGATAAAACGCCAAAGAATGTTAACTGTCTTTAGTCGGAATTGCTCCAATTCTACACATA